CTAGAAAACTTTAAATCAACTTGTAGATGTGCTGTGGCCTGTGTTTCCCTTGGACAGAGCTGATAGATGGTTCTTTTGAATTCTGCCGTAAGGGAAGCTGAGAACTAAAGCTGTTACAGGGCCCCTGGAATCTAGTCCTTGTCTGTCACTTTATCTTACTGTTATTGAGTTAATCGATTATTGTTTGTTGTGAAAACCAGAAAACCCTGATTAGGCAATACCTGGCTTCTCTGCTACCCTGGTGATCAACCCCATAAAGCCAGGACCCCCACCACTGGTCTCAAGAGGAAAATGGAGAAATGGGCTCCCTTCCCTCAGGAACTCTGGTAAAGCCACTGGCCTGAGGTACCTATGTCAGTGATGACACATTTTTCTCTCCATGCGCCTTACCCTCCCCATGCCTCGTATTAGTCTCGGAACTTCCTGGGTGGGCGAAAATGCTCTGTATTTTGACTTGGGTAATGGTGGTACCAGTGAAGTTAGATGTAGAGATTCACTGAGCTGCACACGGAAGATATCTGCATTTTACCAAAGTAAATTCGATCTGAAAAAACAAGCATGAAAAGTCTGCATGAGGGGATATCTGTTTTGATTAAAGAAGAACCAGTTGATGGGGACTCAGAGATGGGCAACCCCACTCTTCTCTACAGTCTGGCACACGGTACCCCACCCAGATCCCATGGGCCTGGCAGGCCTCCCAGCAACACCCCAACTATAAAGCCAGCTAAGTTCTTCACAGGGTTTAGGCCATCTGCTCTTCCTGGGAGCCCCCCGCTTCCCCTCCATGTATGAATGTGAAGCGTGGGAAAGGCTCTGCAGGGGGCTACTGTGGCAGCTGCACTAAGGAGACAATACCAGCACCAGGGACAAAGGGGAAGGCTGGTCACTGGCGGCAGGGCAGTGCACTTCACCGAGAGGCAGGCGGAGAACAAGCCAAGGAATGAGAACAAAGGAGGAGACGGCTGAAGAGTGCCTGCCCTGGCTAGCCCCCCACTCTCACCCAGGCTCAGTCCCCTCCCCCAAACCCACCTGCTCATCTCTTCCCTTGGCCTGTTGGACAAAAGCAAAAACTGAGGGCGCGCTCAATCTCCAATTAGTTTTTCAAATAATGATCACTGGGACCTGTTTCTATTGTGGGTTTTGAGGTGAATGCAATTACAAAGGAAAAAAGCATGATGCCTACAATTCCTGGGCTTTATCACCACTAACTACAACACAGCATCTTGAGACTTGACCCCTTCCCACAGAGATGCTAGGAGCTCCCCATTCTCCTGGGGGTCCCACTTAAGATCCAGCACTACTCTTTTCCCTAAAATGCTCTAATCAATGGGGGACTTGTCACTTTAATGATGATTCCTTATGCTTGCATTCATTTAAATTCACAAGGTGGCCTCCCACCCTTTGCTTCATTTGCTCCCTCCCACAGACCTGGCAGAGGACTGCTAGCCTCACAGAGGTGAGGATCACATGACTCTGCAGGGTCCTACAGCTCCAGGGAGCAAAACTGGAACTGATTCCTGACTTGTGATTCCAGAATGTTCCTCTTATGCAGTTTCAAATCTTCGGGTCCCTTAGGAAATGTGAATCAATTGAATTAAAAGAACAAATATGGACCTGGTTCAAACTGTTTATTGGGCTCCTGCTAAGGACATATAGGAAATAAAAGTGATTATAATATCAGCACAATGAGTCAACGCTAAATGCCAGGAACACTAGTATGTTTTTTTTATTTTATGCATATAAGAACTGGGGTACAGGCCAGAGATGTGTGTGGGGGGGGGGGGGTGAGAGGATTCACCAGAGTGGGGAGAACACCTGGGTACAGGCCAGAGGTGGAGAAGGTGAGAATTCACCAGAGACAGAGTGGGGAGCAGTAAAGGCAGATCAACGAAGTACACTGCTGAGGGGAGCAGTGGGGAGACAGGAGAGGTCTGCTGCACCACGTGGGTTATCTCCCTGGCCAGGGATTGAACTCGTGTTGCAGTGGCTAGTGACAACTTGACAGCACTGTGGCTTTAACTCCTGCACCACCAGGGAGGTCCTGTATGTGTTTTTGATGTGACCTCATTTAATGGGAAACTAAGACCCAAAGAATGGTGCCTAAGGACACACGGTTAATCAGAAAATTCAAAGCTGATCACCTGGACTCTATGCTCAGGGCCTCCCTGGTGGCGTAGGGCAAGTCTCAGCGCTACCAAGCTACCAGCATGCCACTGTAGCCTGAGCCTGGCCAGGGAGCTGACCCACATGGCACAGAAAACCTCTCCTGTCCCACCCACTGCTCCCCTTAGCAGTGTATCTTAATCCCCACTCTGTCTCTAGTGAATCTTCTCACCTCCTGCACCTCTGGCCTACACCCCAGTTCTTGTATGCATTAAAAAAAAAAAATACTGTGCTTAGTATTCCATAGTGAAGAAAGCCAGGCACAGGCACTACTGTGATAGCAAAGAGAACCCAAAGATGGTAAATCAACCATCCTTATTTAGAACCACTACTGTAGGAGGAAAGAGACCAAGGTATAGGCTTGATTCCAAATTCAGCATGGGTGTGTGGAAACTTACCTGGACACATCAGGGGTAGCGGATCTTGGTTAAACCCACCTAATTGGATTTTTGCTGAAGACAGGTAGGTGGACCTCATCTGTTATCAATATGATCAGGTAGATGGAATGGGGAAATTAAACTGGGATTAAACTGACCTAGCAGGTTCTTGCAAAAACTGTATTTTATAAGGAAGTACACAGGTGGGCCGAAGGAGAGCCTGACTAAAGTCTGATCAAGCAAAGAATCTTTGTCGTGATGAATAATTTGAGCAAAAATCTTGTGGATTTCATAAATGAGGCAGTAGGCCTTTCCAGACCCACTGACCGACAGGCTAGCAGGTCCTCCCCTGGTGTCCTGTTTCAGAGCTGTGTCTTTCAAGAAGCTGCACCCAGTGGGTAAGACCAGAAAGAGCAGGTGATGTAAGTTTCTGGCTCTGCTATGTCCCAACACAAAATTCAAGTTCCCTGAAACTTGCCATTAATCCTAAAATAAAATCCATCCTCTTTACCACAGCCCTTAAAAGCCGAATTTGTTCTGGCTTCTAGGAATATTTTCCCGGCTAACTGCACCCTAGTTATACTGGCCCACTTTCAGTTCAAACATTGCCAAGCTCTTGCTTCAGAGCCTTTGCAAAATATTTTTTTTGCCTGGAGTGCTCTTTCCCAGTTCTGCAAAGGCTCCTTTTTCTTCAGGTGTCAGCTAAGCCTTTCCAATCCTCTATAGTAAAAATTGCTCCCTTTGAAGTCTGTCTCACACTTAAAATCACTCTGCTCTCATTCCCCCACTCCCTCTAACTTGTCGTGGCCCAAGGACAGGAACTCTATCTTCTTGCTCGTGGCCACAGCTTCAGACACAGGAGGGCCTGGCACACAGCCAATGTCTGCTGCACTCTATTCTGCGCCCTCCAGGCCTGCAAGTCTGCCTTGGCACCCCTTAGCCTTGACGGCTCTTTCTCTAGGAAGCTGTTTCTTGACCTCCTTTTCTCTAGTCATTGTACTTCTGTTCTCAGGCCCTGTGGTTCCTCCTCTACATCACTGTCCATCAAGCCTCATCCAGCCTATCTTCTAGAAGATATGGTTATAGGTGGGCAAGTCCTAGCACGGTGGCTCTCTCTACTCTTATCCCACACAATGCTGGCTACCCTCAACCCCCACTGGCACCCCCTGAGCTGCTGAGGTTTCAGCAGACCTAAGTAGAGACACTAGGAGTTACCCAAGAGCAATAGGAAACTGGTATCATCATCTCTTCCCTGTAGCCTGGGATAAGCTAATTATATGCAAGGTTCCTATAGTCCTAAGTGTACAGGAGCCAGGCAAGTGTCAGCTGAGTGCAGCTGGCATGTAGAAGGGCCCATGAGCCATGCGCTATGGGCCTGACACCTGTGAGGGGTAGAGTTATGGTAAACCAGAATCTAGGACTCACCCAAGGGGCAAAGGGCACTGCTGCTGATCAGCTCCAGCTGAGTCACCAAGGAGGCATAGGGGCGCCATGCTGCCAGCTGACCTTCTCCGTCAAGAGAATCCAAATCCCCAAACCTAGATTTTTATATGAAATGTCTCGATTTATAAATGCTGGCAACAAATTTAACTTTTTAAAAAATACTATGGATCAAGTGAACCATATCTGTTTCAGCTGGTAGCCTCTGGAAAAGGTGCGGTCTCCTTCTCACCCACATACGCCTCTCACCTGCACAAATTCCATTCAGAACTAGCCTGAATCCCAGTTAAAATCCCAAAGTCCAGTTAAACTGGAAAGCAATATGATTAAAGGAACTGTTACCCTCAAGTTCCACAACTACTGTTAAGATTACCTGTGCTTCAAAAGTTATCTAAATGATCATGTTTCAATTACTAGAATTAGAAGCAATGAACCACAGGACATTAGCACTTTGGTGCATTAAACTCCTTTAGTCACATGAGGCAAGTGCTATTATCTCTCTTTTAGCAAGGGAATAAAAAAAGGCTCAGAGAAGTTAAATCATTTGCCCAAAGTCCTTCATCCTAATAAATGGTAAGTACAGGTTTGTGGGAAACTTATACCTATATGTTTAACTGAACTATTCAATTCAATATTATTTCTTTCCAAGATGTTACATAATTCCATGTAACGGTGATGCTGGGTAATTTCGAAAGGAAACACTTTCTTGAGATGTATGTGCCTTGTTAGAGCCTAGAATAACTCACGTTGTCAGTCTTCCTTTATGACCATCCCTGGCCTTCCCCAGGGCATGTCAAGCCCCAATTTGTCAAGGAAAGAGCAGAAGGAAGCCTTGAGATACCAACAGGGCTGCTGTGTAGACAGCTGGTGCCATTGCTGGAGAAGAAGGGAGGACGCGCTGTTCCAGACAATCTTAGTGCCATTAAGAAAGGTTAGAAGAACCACTGTAAAAAGACCTGGAGAAATACGCTGGCCCATGCGTTAATGGTATTTTAGCAAAGTCCTTCTAAAAGCACTCTAGCAAATGTCCAATCAGTCCTTTGTTCCCATTATTCTCTTTATTCCAAAACAGATTAATACACAGTTCAACTTTTTAAATTCAGTATCTGGCTAAGTTGGAAATATTCACAGCATCTTGCTAGGGTATCTATGCCAAAAAAAAAAAAAAAAAAAGACTATCTGCACTCACAATTACCTGCCCCATGTTCGGGAAATAGAAAAACAACAAGTCAAAGTATAACTACAATTCTGACTTTTTTTTCTCTTTAAATAAAGTTCTTTTTTCATTCCTCTTTTTAAACTGTGAATTGTTTTGACTTCTTTTCTTGATACTCATTTCAGCTTTCAGAATTTCCTTCCTTCTTCAGGAATTAATGTGCTGTTCTGAAAAAAAAAAAAAAATGGAGGCAAATACAAAATTAATAAAGGTTTCAATTCACTGTTACAGTTCCTAACTGGTGACAAAAGAGACCTACTACAAGGTCCCATTCATAAGGGAATAATCATTTGTCTATTAGTTCTACTGATTTATGTCCCATTTCTGTTTCACAAAAGAACAAGAGACATCTAGTTCAAACTAAAGCTGATGACAATGTCAACTAAATGAAACAAACCTGAGGCTAAATAAGTAAGTGGTATGTGAAAATATGAGATGAGGTAATTCCAGGCACACCTCTCACAGTGCAAGGCCATAAAGACCATCAATTTCAACCAGATGAACAGAGAGCAAGACTTATAGACTGTTCATCTTCAATCCTCCAGGCTCCAGGCCCACCCACCAATACATGACCATCATGTGGCAGGAAGACAACATTCTGACCATTCAAGAGCAGAAACCCCACTGCACTCCAGCGCTGCAGTCACACTGGGCCAAGTGGTAAGACTCTGTCTAAATTAATTCTCAAAGCTGGGACTCAGATTACAAGAAAACTTGAGGAGGGGATAAATACTTCTCAATCTCTTTATTCCTTTTTTCCCGATGGCTGCCTTTCCCTACACTCGAAAAACTGACAGGAAAACACAAGAACAAAAATGACCATCTAGCCAGGCACTGCAACAGGAGGGTGACAGCAGCAAGGGTCTGGGTGGCTCTGGCGGGCCGAGAAAGGTGCTGACAGTCAGCCTCAGCAGGCAGCTGCATCCGGAGGTGAGGCTGATGTATGTTGACAGCGTCTTTCAGAACGGCAGGCTCCACACCAATCAATCAACACTTCCCACGGACAAGCACAGGCGCAGCACTGAGCCTGTGGGCCACAGGGAGTGCTCCGAATTCCCTGGCAACATTCAGAGGTTCCCAGGTACAGTAAAATGTATGCACTGCAAAATGAGGATGGCACGGGTATGAACTGGAAACAGCGGAAAGGTGAAGTCGGCCACGAGCCTCTAGTGTGGCCAGGCCACTATGCCCTCTTTTATTCCTGCTCAAATCAATGTCTGTCCTCACGAAGTTCCAAACTTCCAAATGATCAAGTGACTTTTCCTCCCTCAAGTAATACTACTTAGGGGTAGCAGAGTGGAGATGGAATATCTAAAAATCAAGAAAAAAAATCAATCGAGAGTTACCTTAAAGAATTAAGGAGCTCAACATTAAGCAGAAAAGATTAGTCCTGAAAGCCTATCTTGGATAGAAAAACTGTACTTTAGGACAAAACCCAAGGGATACGGCCAGGGGGTGGGGCAGGGAGGAGAGGCTCACTACAAAGGGCACAGGGACTTCCACAGGGAGAGAGAGCTGGTCTGTCTTGTTTATACAACTATAAGCTTGTCAAGGGTCACAGAAATGTAAACCAAAAAGGTGAATTGTATTGTATATAAATTAAACCTGACAAAATAAAAACCAGAGTGCTGGTTTCTTCATGTGAGGACTAGCTATTCCAGCTTATGCTTACACACACGAACGGTTCCACACTCTGTGCTTTGTTGACTGTTACTATTTTGAAGGTTAAAAATTAGACGGTTTCATTGCTTTGGCAAAGAAAGCCATTTCCAAGACACAGGACAAGAGGGACTGCAACATGAAATTCAAACTGCTCCCTCCTCTAGACTGAGCTGGTTCAGGGGCCTGCAAACTACAACCCACAGGCCAGATCTAGCCCACGACCTGTTTCTGTAAACCAGGTTTGCCTGGAACACGGCCACGCGCGTTTGCTTATGTAGTCAATAGGTGCTTCACATTACGGTGGCGGAGTCCAGCAACTGTGACAGAAGACCTGTGGCTACTTCCTACAAAATGCTCCTCCCTGGTTAGAGGAGCTCGTCAGTGAAAAATCAGACACTCTCTCCCCTTCCCTCCCTTCCTCTTGCCTCTATTTAGGCTAATAACATGATTAGTCACTTGACATTTTAGTCTCCCAGGGTAGAGCCTTGAGCTGTATCCTTAACTCCAGGAGCCCAGTTCTGATGTTGGCTTGAATCTGTGGCCATCAGTCCCGCACAATTTAGTCTTAACCAAGCCACACTGTTTGGTCCAACCAGAGGCAGGTATTACAAAAAAGCCTAGAAACAGTGACAGGGTGTGCCAGGATTTGCCACGGGATCATCATTTACTGAACTTAGATGTTCTGAATGGAACATTTAAGACGTTCACGTCTGGATCTGTCTTAGCTTTAGCTCTGCCCTCCTGAGAACACAGAGGGGGGCTGCTGCTCATAAGTAAAGTATGCTGCAGGACAGAAGGTGGCACAAAGCCAGGGAGAGCTGCTCTGCTGCAGTTACCCCATCGGTTGGGCTAACATGGGGAGCGTTAGCTTTTGCCCCCAGCCCAGCCACAGCCTGGTCTAAGAAGCTGGAAAACAGCTTGAGAATTAGGCTTTAGCGTGGGTGTGGTAGGGAGGGATGAGCAAGCTGGAAACTAGAGAGAACAGCTAACATGCATGAGGCGGGCAAGACGGGAGAGGGGCCCTGCTTCTGGGATGAGTCCACCCTTCATCTTTACCGTAGAGTCCTATATTTTGCCAATCTACTGCTCTGCTCTGCAGCGATCCTGCCAAAGGAAAGAGGATTTGAGAATCAAGAAAGGACAGTGAGAAGAGAAAAAAGCTGAGGAAGGAAATGACAAACACTCAACCAGAGCTTCCTTTAGGGCCAGTGACTTCCCCAGTGGCAGAGTTCACTCCAGGACTCACAAAGAGTGTGCTTTAACCTTCAGTGTGGGACTGACTGGAGGAAGCGGCGTGACAACCATGGTTGCTCTCCCTAGAAAATGTCCACAATTTGAGGATTCCAAATTAGGAACTTCTGGTAAGCAACACCAAAATCAAATCGTTTCCCCCACCTCCCCCGATTTTGTCTTGTGTGAACAAATTCCTGGAAAAAGAACTCATCAGAGTATTGCCTTCTGGATCCCTGAGGCCTACTGGCTGCTGTGAGAAACAGGGCTCCGTTGAGGAAAAACAGCTGAGTTCCCAGGGCTTTTTTGGATGCACAGCACAGCTATCCAGTAAAGGTTGCTAGAGGGGCAGGACAATGAGCCAGCTGCCACTGCGCCGCTAAGGGAAGCTCTGGTAGAACCTGGGTTACTATCAAGAAGTCAACGAGCAGCCAGGTCTCCATGGTGAGGCCCTCAGAAAGCTCACGATGGACACCTGGGCAGGAAAGAGGCCTGTTGCTCTCCCACCCGCTTAATGGTCTGAGAAAGCCCCTCTCTGATCTGACCAACTTGGAAAGCCACATGGGAGTACAGACTATTAAGTTAGATTCAAAAAGCTAAGTCCTGGAGAAGGAAAAGCAGGGCACGTCTGAAAATGTTAACTTCCAAAGGTAAAAGCAATTCTGACCTTTTCTTAGTGACCTTTATGCAGCTGAAATCACCCAAGTTCTAATAAAGTCCAATCAATGAGAAACACCTATGTGACATTTAAATTTGTCTGTAACCCAGGTTGGGAAGTCAAGCTGCCAGCAAGCTGCCATCCCACAGAGATCTGACCATTTGTGTGAACTTATGGTTGCTCTGGTCACATCTGGGCATGTGGTACAGGCTACAGAACGGTGCTCTGATGGGGCTGCTGCAAAACCTGCAGAAGCTTCTGAGACCAGCATGGACCAGCATGGACCTCACGCACAGGAGAAAAAGGTGCAGGAGTCTGTTAGGGGTTACAGAGGAGTAATGCCCTGAGCACAAGAAGAAGGCAGAATAGAACATGAGAAGAAAATTTTCATATGGCCAGCATATTAACAACAATCTCTGCCGTGTTATAATCCATTTTAATCTTCACAAAACAGTGGTCTCTATTCTCACTCTAATGTGGAGAGACAAAGGCCATGGTAGTTTAAATACATTTAATCACAAGGCCCTTTTCTAACTTAAAAGGCTTCTGCATCAGACTGGACTTAGGTATATCACTTGCCCCCACGGACATGAATCATTTTGTCATATAGTCTTGTTCAAAGAGCTAGGCAAACAGCTGGGAAAGCTATCTCTAATCCCTCTCTGGGATCCGGAACCACCCTAGCCTTACCTCTTGACTGCCTGGTGGGCCAGCATCCGGTTACCAGCCAGAAACGTCACACTGCCCAAGATGGCCAGATACTTCAAGGTCTGGAACATGTTGAGCTGAGTCCAGTAGACATACATGAGCCCCAACATAGCTACAAGAACAGGTGTCAGGACAGCTCATTAAATGAAACCAAGACAATGGCTGGGGGCATAGGAACTAAGAGCAGCGAGTGTCGGATCACATGAAAAAGTCTATTTTCTAGATTAGCTTGTCTGATTCCTATTATGTGATGCCAGAAAACATAATTCAATATAGGTTGCCTCCCAGTTTTGGCTACCAAGAAATCCAGTGGTAAAAACCAGAGCCTGGCTGCTCTGACTAACTTGCTCCATGTTCCAGTTCACATCTGTTTTCTTTAATCTAGGTTTTGCTTTAATGTTGCTGTCATGTTATTGTTGGGATTCACTTTTTTTCAAATTCTGAATGAAAGCATGTAGGATATAAATGAAAAATCTTTTCTACTAAAAAATTTTTTTGGATTATTTGCCACTGTAACTAGGAAGGAAACAAGGTGGTAGGTTGAGGAAAAAAGGGCTCAGAACTGCACAGAAGGGCCCTGCGTTCTGGTCCAGGCTCTGCCCTTCCAGGTCACTTAATTTTTCTGAGCCTAAATTTTCTCATCTGTCAAATGGGGATCATAATTCCTGCCCCAGTGACCCCTACCAGGGGTGTGATGAGAACAGAATGAGAAAATGTGAACAAAAGGCACCCTGGCAAGAAAAGTCATGACGCTAAACATTTATATTCAGGTTTTGTTCTCAGCTGACCCGGCAGGGCGATCACTCAAATCCAGTAACTGGACTGGAGAGAAAGGTCATCCTGTCAGTTCTGCCCAGAAGGATGACAGATGAACTCCAGCAGGGGTTCTTAACCATTTTTGAGGTCACAGACCACTGTGTGAAGCTGATCAAAGATAAGGACTCTCTTTTCCCAGAAAAATACAAATAACACATTTGCTTAGAATTTCAAGAGATTTATCTATGGACTCCTACAGAATCCACACACAATGGACACACAGAGGGGAATCCTGAAAGAGCCAAAGAAATTAGAAAAGAATCCTGAGGTCACAGTGCAAGGCATCACTGATCCAATAGTGTCGAAAGTCTCTGGAATGCTTAAGTGATTTGTGAATTTACTGTGTTGTTATGTTTAGGTCCTAAGTTCTCAAGAGAACAATGCAGGACAGCGTGTCTGACTAGGGAAGGGACTGCTTGCTATTACTGTCCAGACACAGCCGCCAGCAAATGTGAAGATCGATATGGTGGGGAAAGGTAACCTTTGGAAACTGCATTAAAGCTCTCATCCAGGAAGATGGCTCAATGTAAAGATAGGAGAAGTGAGTAATCTCTGGAAATGAACAGGGCTATTAAATGAGGGTAAATGGCCTGCCAACAGTAGCCGAGTACAATGAAACCCAATATAATGACAGCTGTTCTAAACTGATGGTCTAAACAGGTTTATCATCATATTAACTGCCCTAAAAGGCCAGGAGGAAGAGGGAAATGTTATGCTATTAAGTCATTATAGTTAATAGGTTGTGGGCCTACTTAACAGGGCTTTCGCGTGGGCAGGCTAAATGTCAGAAGAGGTTAAATGGAATTAGCAGCCGGGGGCGCTTACCAGCATGTCCCAGGTGAAAGATAATTGTGCTAGGAGCAAAAGTGAAGTTGGAGACATTGGCACCAATCCGGATCCACTGAACGATGCAGAGAAATAAATTAAAAAGACATTAGAACTTGAAAGGAAGACAACACAGACCATGTCGATGCTCATCCAATAAACAGCCCTACGGGTTTAGAAGTTCACACGTACCTGAAGGTCAGGGGATTTTTCCAAGTGATAGCCACCCAAAGTCCTACAAGAGAGACTGTTCCCTGTTTTCTTTAATGTTTTTGGTAACTCAAACCTGAACATCATTTTTAATGACAGCAAACTCTTCTATTTTAAACAGGTGAGACCAAGAAGCTGACAGGGCAGGAACAGTACTTCAGATGACAGCACTGACATCCCAACTGACTCTCCTAAGCATTGCCAAGACAAACCCATGAGCAGCTGGTAGGATGCATGCTTCTGCTGCAAATTCTAGGCCTTTTGAAGTTCTGATCACTCAAAGGTCTGGATCCTGGAAACTTGAGTTGTACCGTCCAGATTCAGGCTGACCAGTCATTTTTTTTTTTTAATAGGAAACTTCCCCAAAGTAAGATCTAATGACTATTCTTCAAAATTCTCCAAACTTATTAACAACTGATCCATAATTATTATTTTAAGAGACAAAGAAAATAAACCATGTTAATTTATTTTTAAAAATACGAACAATATAGTATAAAAGGTAAAAATTTCTTCCTCAGTACTCAAAATACCCTCTCCTTAGAGGTAACCAATGCTAGTAGATAATGGCTTTTTAAAGTTTTCCATCCAAAACATACTAACCTACCCTTTGTCTTCTTAAACTCAAGCAGATTATCTTGTCACATCAGCATTTAAATCTACCTCTTCTCTTAATAAGCCACATACTAATCCACAGTAATGATCTGCCATAATTTATCAAACACTGCTCCTATGAGGACTTCACGCTGTTTCTAGTTTGATACATCAAACCGTGCTGAAATGTACAGCCTCTATACTCTCATTTTTATACAGCTATCAGCTTTGGGCCTGATTTCTTTCACACTTGACCTCATCTAAACACTCCTAAAGAGCAACACAATTTATACACTTATCATGTGTAATAGCTACTAGGTACTTTCTCATGCCTCTAGTTAATGGATCAATTTATTTGGCTGCTCCCTCATAGTGGGGAATTTTAGTTATTCTAAAATTTTTTTGACCATCAGTTCCGGTCCCAGCTGCTAGACCCCTCTGGAGCTGTGTTGGGGTCAGAGCACAAAGCCTCCTTTGGAATAGCAACATCTGCTGAGGCTGGTGCCAGACACACACTGCCCATGCTAATTACAACTACTCACCAGAGCAAAGAGCAGAAGCAAGGGCGAGAGGATGAGAGCAGTGAAAGTATTGGACACCACTGTAGGGGGCCTCTTCTCAGGCTCTCGGAACAGGTGCTGCCAAAAGAAGACACACAAAGAATATTTTAGAATGTGCCCTCCCCAGAAAGGGCTGAAATGCCTCCCAGAGGCGGAAACCACCTAGCAATGACTTGCCACTTAGCCTTCTGCCTCTTCGCAATGACAGGAATCTGGATTCCAAAATGCTCTGTGTTGCTAGGGTAACAATGTCATATGTTGTCATCCCATTTAAGTTAACTGATAATAACCTCACTCTTATAAAATTTAACAGAATTCATTAGGGGTGGCTCCAACTATAATTCACCCCAAAGATTTCTATTTGAATCCAAACCAGAGACAAGGTGCTTCACCATTCTTTGCCTCAGTTTCTAGCTAGAAAACTGGGGATGAGAGGGTAGTGACCATCTCACTGGGCTTGTTAGGGTACTGCAAGGGCTAGCTGAAACAGGACATTCAACTCTGCTTTGTAAGTTGGAGTGTTTTAGAGACCACTTAATTAAAAAAGGACAGGTGCCAAAGAGTAATAGGATTCATTTTTAAAATCTTTCTACTGTCAGTAATAGCATTATTTAAGAAGATACACACACTCACACAAATTTCACATTTTTTTAGACTTTCTTCCAATGTGTAAACTTGTGGCCCTCGCCTGCTGGCCAATGTCCAGCCTTCCCAGGTCCACAATGAGGCAGTTCAGGCCCATGTGAGACTTCTGTCCCCAGAGTTTCAGCTCTCAGCTCTTCTCCACTGCCACTGCCACTAAGGGACTTCTAACCCCATCTGCAGCAGCCACTGTCACCTACTCTACCCTATAGATCAACCAGTGCCCTTCATCATCACAGTTATACCTTTAGCTATTTAACTGAATCTTCCATTCTTAAATAATGCTATTAACAGGAAGATTTTTTAAAAGAATCCTATTACTCTTGGGCACCTGTCCTTTTTTAATAGTGAAATGAGGTTAAGTGGCCTCTCTGAAACATTCCAACATTAGCTGCTATGTAGGTTTCCACATTACTAAGGTATGACGGGGTGGCTCCACCTCCATTTCCTAAGTAGTACCCAAATAATTTAAAAATTGTGTCTAGTTTATAAAATGCTCACAGAAACTCTTCTTTCTTTCCTTTTCCATTACCTATTATGAAACTCACAATAATCCAGCTGGGCTGGGCTGGGCAGGATTCTAATATTCATGTGCAAGAAAGGAGACTCTCCAAAGAGATGAAAGGCTTGCCTAGGGAAAGAGCACCCTGATTTCCTGGTTGCGCTTCCACCTGTAGGACCTTTTAGCCCAGACTGCCGCAGGAGCGAAGATGGCAGTTAAGACCCACCTGGTGCCAGATGTCAAGCAATGGTCTGAGGGGCTGCGCCTCCTAGATGTTTTGGCAAAACAGACTAGGGTTCTAACTCTGTGTCTAACTGCTTCAGGGAGCTAGTTACTGGGTCTCTGGGCCAGTGTTTTCAGTGCTGTAATGAGATTGGTATTTGTGTTGCCAAACTGACAGAGTAGTGAGGACCAAACTATGAAATATACAAACATGTTAAAACAGGAACTAGAGCCATGGTCCTGGGATGTCCTGCCCCTCTCACTTGCCCATTTCACAGTTTCATGTCTAGTGAAGAAGACTCATGGGATATACCTGAATCTCCTGCTTAGGGGTGAAAAGATTCTTGGACAGGACAGTGGACGGAGCATCTTCTTCTGGGAACTTGATGATCACATCAGCCTAAAAAAATAAGGACAGTCTTTAAAGGCTAAGGGCAGAGAAGGGGGGTGAAACTCATCATCATGGTATAGTATTCCCTGACTCACATTCAGGACATAACTGAGTAGAGCTCCAAGCAGTCCAATTACTTCTGATCCATTAGTCGCAAATTGAGGAAGTAAAAAATTCAATAATAAAGTATTTGTTCAAAATGCTTTATATAGCAAGAGTTCCAATTTTCTGCAGGTCTGATGAGTCCCACAGACCTGCTTAATACAAAAATCCCAGCTGGAACTTGGGCTGTTACGGTTGCAATCAAAAACTGCCTGGTATCCCTGGGAACATGATTTAGTCACATTAAAAAGAAAAATGGAAAAAAAAAAAAAAGAAAAATGGACTCTGATACAAGAAGCAGCCCAAAGACCAGAAAGGTAGAGTAACTTTGAACGCAGCACAAGAACTGCAGCTGGCCCTTTCTCTTGCAGAGGAAACCAGCCACCATTCAAAGCTTGCAATTTTGCTTCCGGTACCTGTGCAGCTCATCAGCCACTGCTTGACCAGATTCAGGTGCTTCTGTACCATGGACCCACCCAGGCCTCACTGAAAGCACCTATGCGCCACTCCCCAACCATCATCCCACAGTACCCAGAGACTATCTTTATAAATCTTTGCAATTCTTCAACTCTAAGGCTCAAACACCAAATCTATTGATGAAGTTTTCTCTTATCACCCCAATCAAAAATGAGACATGTAGGTGAAAAGCACCATGTGAACTATAACATATTTATAAATGCTGATTATCAGTTGCCTAACATTTTGCACATCTTATAAGTCACTATCCTATACCATCCTGAATTGTTACCAGAATCCAAAATCCTATCCTTCCTGTGAAGCTGCATTTCTCAAAAGTCAGGACTGTTACTACATCTGTGTATCCCTCATGTGCCTTGCTCAAAGACGAAAATTCTCATCCAGAATATTTTTTATAGAAATCCAGACTACCAGAGGCCATTAGGGCAAATTTATACCTCATTCATTCACTCAATTACTACTCAGCTCTATTACAGGCCAGACCAGTATATCCCTCTACTAACACTAAGGGAAAGAGAACACAGGCAGGGCTAGGTACTCTAGGTGAAGCACCCCATGCCTCTGAAAGGGAGCTGCCTGTGCTTGACTATGGTGCAGCCACTGATGCCTGGATCAAAGTGTGCTGAGGAACATACCACATTCCAAAGGATTGGATTCTTCAAAGTGGCATCCCCAATGATCAAGTAGAGAGTGTAGGTGCCAGATGCAGAGTCGAATTCGATCTTTCTCTCAGAGGTGTCCAGCTCAAACTTGTAAACATTCTTGCTGTCCGGCTCAGCAACAAACACCACTTCCTGTCCAGTCTTCTGGTTATGAAGTCGGACGAATGTCTGGTGAGAACAATAATACAACTTTTCAGCTGGCAGTTTCAAAACTCCCTCTGGTCCAAAGGCAGATCAATGAGGCGGCAGACTATTACTCTTCTGTCACCATGAGAACATGGGTTTTCATGCTTTAGGCGATGAGGAGTGGCCATCCCACCCAGGTTCCCAGCTCAGAGATAAGAGATAACTTTTTGTCGGGATGGGGAAAGAAACTTAGGAGTCCAGCCAATTCTTAACTACTTGGAGGCTGAAATGCCCCGTTTGTGCATGATTTAAGCCCTTTGCTCTTGCTTCAATTTCTCCTTCCTGCCAGCCTTTTGGCCACTTTGCTGCCCAATTAACTTCTTCACCAGAGGGTGAAAAGAAGGGAAATGAGGTGGAACTGTAAGAGGCCCGTTTTCAATTTCCTAGTGCCTCCAGCTAAAGATTTAGTAGAGGAAGCTTAGGGATTGAAAACAAGGCAGAGTTCTAATCGAGTAGAGTAGCCTGGTGTTGGAGAACAGGCACTGAAGATACATTAGGTTCCACTAACCTATTAGCTAAGCAGGTTCCTTAACCTCCTTGGGCATCAATTTTTTTCACCTTTAAGATAGAAAGATTAACTTCTACCAGTGGTATATCAGTGAGATGATTCACAATAACATATGCAAAGCATTTTAGCACAGGGCCTGGTATATACTCACTAATTAGCAAATGGTAGTTGATATTATCAACACAATGACATGATGCTAATCACCTTATCCTCCCAATGACATATGAAATGAAGGTTTCTGCAGCAAAACTTAATGGCCTCTCAGAGCTTTTCTTTCGAGTGTTTCAAGATAAAGCATTCTACAGGGTCAGTAAGGTTGGCTCCATTTTACAAATCATAAGGTACAAGCATTAAATGAGTTGCCACCATCAAATGGCCAGTGCTGGATCCACAGGAAATAACATAAATCCCCTCTGTGACTCTCACTTGTATAACAAAGAACCACCATCAAAGTATGTATTTAGGAAAGGGGCCCAGAGATGTGAAGCACCTTGACCAAAAAATGGGAGTTAGGATACCCCTCTTGCCTCAGGAAGTGCAGGTGGCAGCTGGGTTCTAAACCACTGTTTCTAAAATAGAAACTTGAATATGGGACAAGTATTCAGTTTATCCTTCTACTAATAGTAAGGGAGAAAGTACTCTACTTCTCCTCTAATTCGCCCTGGCTAATAACCCCAACCCCAATTTAGTCTCATAATTTCTTCTCTCTGTATTCTTTCTTTCCTTCTGCTGTCTGGTTAGCAAATGTCATTTTGAGAAGGAGATGGGAATGCTAAGAGGTAGAAGTGCTTAAGATCAGTTAGCCAAGGAGTTTTCAGGTAGAAGAGAGAGAGAGCAGAGAAGTGGATGTGGAGACTGCTATTCTGGGGCCTGGGCAAGAATCAGAAAGCAAAACGGTACCTAAGTAAATCCTCTCACCTCAGTGCTGGGCCCTGAAGCTGCCTCTCAGCAGGATATAAATCTGCTGACTCTTGCTAAGTATCACTATGAAGCACCTACACCAGACCACTGGGTCCCACATTCTTTCCTGTCTTTCAGCATACAAAGTTTCTGACTTTCCCCTTGGATAAAACAACTGTGGGTGGCGCAGGGCTGAAAGCAGTATCCCCAGTCAAGGGGAGTGACAGCGGAGGGGGAGGTATCTGTCAGGACAGGAGAGACAGCAGTGCTCTGAGAACAGGGAAATCAAGGAAAATAAATGTGAAGCCTCTTTCACAGTATGAAGCGGGTACAAGTTTAAAAGGGCTATTCTTCAGATTCTCACAAAACAAAGTAATGCTTTGGATCCACTGCCTAGGTTCTCCTTGTTTTCCAAATTACTTCAACATGTTTGGTTTTTTTTGGTCAGAAAGAAAAAAAGCTTCAAGTAGGCCTAACTTGTTTTTAACTACTTATTGTCCAACACCAGCCCATCTTTTAAAAAGAAGAATGTGTTCCAGGTTGAGGATTACAGTGGGCCATATGGGGAACCTGCAATCTTCTACAGTCAGTATTATATACACTAACACTCATGAATGTTTCAGGCAAACAGAGCAGTCTGGACTTCATTCTGACCTGGTGAGGGGTGAGTTCAGTACCAGTGTTCACGTCTACCAGTTGGAAGAACAAAGCAAAGTTCTGGTGGCTGTCAGCGATGAATGTGCCCTTGGCTTTGGCTGGGTAGGTCACCCTGAAATGAAAAAGACAGTCTTACAGTAAGTTTTCAGAGAGTATCTGTAGAGCTTCAAGGACAAAGAAAATACAAATATCACTTCATTGTCTTATCTTCCCTCTCCTCTCTTGCACTCTACTTTAGCTTCCCTATTGTGGAGAGAGAAAAAGAGCACAATCTCTGCAGCCTGGGTGCAAACTGGACTGATAAAAGTGAGGAAAGCACAGAGTAAACTTTCATCCAGGCCTGGGGAAAATACAATGTGTGGAGGCTCCAGGCTTTCAATTCAAGAACCTAAGTTCATAAAGCTATCAACTCAATGGCATCAGGCAGCAGTGTGGTTCATGTGTGTCCCTGTAGAGTGGAGGCAGACCACAGGAGACCAAGTCTCAGGACTGATGTCAGCGGCCTATATGAGCAAGGTCAAGAGACAGCATGTGGAAGATGCAAAGGAAAGGATACTTGAGCTTTTACTTTCTCCAACACTGTTATTTTTTTCTCTTAGACACCATTTACATTTCTTTCTGCCTGAAATTGGGTTTTAAATTATTTATAATATTCAAAGAAAACTGTTTGAATAGCCATTTCCTGGGATTTTAGGTTAAGATGGTGAAGGGTATAGCAAAATGAATGGTTATAAAGTCTATATTTTATATTTAGACTTATATTTATATGTAAAACCAACTCTTAGATTATATACCGCAGTAAGCTTTGCAAAGTGCTCTCACAGGTGTTATTCCAGCAGGTCCTCAATAGTGCTCTCCATTTCAATGTCACTGTGAACATATACAAGGCAGAGGCAGACAGGCCAACCCTATATGACTTAAGTGGTCTTGTGGGCCATCTTGACAACAGCTACCCCATGTGGATAAATACTGGCTCTAAACTATACCTAGAGGTGTGTCTCCCTCCCCACGAAAATGAGGATCTGGGAAAAGGCCAACAAAAAGACTCCGATTCATTAGGAACCAACACTGTGACTGACTAGTTGTGTCTTCCATGGGCTTGGCAAAGGGAATGGTAGTCCTAATGTGAGTATCTGCCATCTCAATCTTAGAAGGCCACCAAATGAACTTGGACTACAGGCCAGAGTTGCCATGAAAACATTAAAAGCAAATTCAGAATTATGAAGGCAAAGATCAGTCCAGAGCATAATCACAGCTTCCTTCACTGAGATAGTCCTGTTTTTAAAAACTGTCACCTGAATTAATCAACACACTTGGTAAGATAGCTGACTGACTCGAATTTACATTCTGAGATAAGCTCCTTATCTCACTGTGGACAGAAGCAGATAGTTTTTTCAGGGACTGACCAATGTATAGACAACCTCCAACTCTGCCTGGGTGTCCTGCAGAGTACTATGCCAGAACTATAGCCTCTTCCACTTGGGGTACAAGTTGGATCACTACTAACAGAAATACCTGAGGGAACAGGCACCTACGTGTGCTCTTCTCAACTAAAGTTGGGGGCCCCTGTGTGTCCGGGTGTGATCTCACTTACCGGGTGGTTTTTGGTGCAATACTCTGATCCTTATCTACAGTAGAGAGATCGACATTTGTGATGCCGACTTCAGTAGAGATCTTGACTCTAAGCTAGAGTGAAAAACAGAAGAAAATCTCAAGTCAAGTGGTGAGCATTCCAGGAATTACCGAACTTTTCTACTCTTATTATAAAGGCAGGGGGAAAAAATCCAAAGACAAGTGTTCTTCACTGTATAGTAAAAGGGTCAACCCAGCCAGGCACCATTCTCCATCTCTCCTATTCTGAGGCTGAATAACTCCATATCTTATCCCTTTTCTTTTTCCTTCTCTGACTTTGGATGGATGATATGTATTTAAATGGGGGGGGGGGGAGGAGAGAAGGGAAAAGAAAAAATAGCTAATGTCCTTTAAAATAAGGGGAAAAAAATCCTTAAGCAATAATCTTCAAATAATTTACATCAACAAATGCTCAAATTCCAAACACAGCTAATATTTATGGTTTATAATGTGCAAGGCATTGACTTCACAAAGATGATCTCAATCGGCCCTCCCTGGTGGCGCAGCAGGTTAAAACACTGCACTGAAAAGCTAAAGCCACTTCCGCATGAGTTCGATTCCCGCCTG